GAAAAACCCCGTAATTGGCTGTATACCATCGTTTAAAAAAACACAATTATTTTTTAAATCCACACATGGAAGTCTTATAGACACCTTATTGTTAGCACCAAATACCAAAGGCACTGAAGATGATCTGTATAGATTGAAAACGTTCTGCCATAATTTTAAATGTTGACGACACTTTTAAAAAGTTTTTAAGTACTTGTATGTTTTTATACCAAAATACACAATTGTGAAGTGTTTTTTTGAATAAATGAATGTTTTTACAAATTGGTATCGAATACCCAACGATAAGACAGAATTTATTAGGAATATTTAATACATTCATTAATGATTACACTTACACTTAGTTATTGCACGTAAAAATTAGGTTTATACTTATTTATCCAGGGCTTGTTCTCGATTTTGTAGCCATAGGATAGGTGGGTTTAAATTAACTGTCTTTAAAACACCTAGTTTTGATTGACAGTCCTTGATTTTTCAGTATTTATATTTTAATAATTTTTCTTTGGTTAAAAGTCTTGTACACTTGATTTTACTATCATATCGTGTGTGGGTTTAAATATTTTTTTGTTGGTTTAAGTTTAAGACCCCTTAATGTAAGTTGTACTCTTCTTTGCACCCGCAGGGTTTTCGAGTTTTAGTAACTTCTCATTTATTTAATATATCGCTTAAATAAATAATTATTGAGAAAATAGTTTCCTTTCATGAGGCACAAATCTAAATCCTATATCAAAAGCACCCTCAAGACCCATGACCCCCCCTCCAGAACAAAAATTTCTGAGGATCAGCCACTGAAAGGAGCAAAAATCTAAATCCTATATATAAATCAATCTCAAGACCCATGACTCCCTCCGACAAAAATTTCGGGATCCGCCACTGGGTAAAGTCAAGAAAGAGGTATGAATTGGCCTACGATTTATTTCAAAAATGGAGCAATGATAAAAATGTACATACTATAAATGAAGAAGTCATTCTTGTATATCTAATGGAAACATCTAATATATTGAAGCCATCAAGCCTTTAGGGCAATTACTCGATGTTTAAATCCACACATAACATTAAAAATAATATAGATATAAGCCGCTATTCAAAAGTTATTACTTTCCTTAAAAGAGAATCCATCGACTACAAACCAAAAAAATCAAAAGTATTGAATAAAGAAGAAATAGGTTGCAATAATAATTGGTTTGACAGGCTAGTCGTCGTGAGGAGCTTTGCAAAATGAGTTTAGATGATATAGAAGATAAGATAACCACGTTAGTGATTAAAATTCCTAATTCTAAAACATGGACAGAACCTTTGTGGTTATTGGAGAAAATAACATTTCTTTTTACAGAAAATATTTGTCATTACGTCAAGCAAACACACCGCATCGTAGGTTATTTGTATATTACAAAAATGGAAGGTATACTATACAACCTAATGGTATTCACACTTTTGCAAAAATCGCTTGCACTATTGCTGAATCTCTTAAATTACTGCATCCCAAAGAATACACCGGGCACTATCTACGAGGGAGCTCAGCCGCTTTACTTTCTGATAGTAGTGGTACTATAACCAACTTGAAAATACACGGAGGATGGAAATCAACTAATGTATAGTGTATTTTTATGTATGAGAGAGTAATAAAACAATAAATTATGTATGCAAATCCCTAAACTGTTGATACGGGTGACTCAATGAAAAACAGATATTTGTCAACAAGTTTACAGAAGTATATAGGAAAACAATTTTAAATTGACTATGACCACCAGGTATAAAGGTTGGAGCAGAATAGAATACAATAGTTGTGAGGGTTAATAATCCCTAAATAAGGTTGCCAGTGTCGGAGTGATGGAGGTTAACAGGTACTAATGAATTTGCAAGAAATGTAAGATGTTTATTTTATTGGTTATATATAACCAATAAAAGTTTAATAAGTACCTACCTATTTGCAAAATAAAGTTTAATTCTTTAGATAATATTAAAAGTTTTATTTTATTTCTGAAATGAGTGCATTCCACGAAGTAAGGGTTTCAACAATCAAACATTTAATTCTTTAATTCCAGGAATCTACGACAGTAATTGACTAGATAATTACCTTCTAAACTTATTCCACAGAAAATGTGATAGTGGGTTTTTCCATTTTGTAGGAAGGTCCAAGTGGCGTATTCAAAATTCTTAACAGTTCACTAAAAGTAGGTACTTCAGATGCAAGGTGCAGTTTATTGTGTATACTAGTGTTATGGAAAATTTGGAAGTGCCGTGTAAACGCCGAAAAATTGGTCCTTTAACAGTTAATGAAAAAACATTAATATTTAATTGTTTTAAATCATTTACAGACAAACGTTTATGTGAAAGTGTTAATGAGACCGTTGAGTTAGTTAGCAGTACACTTGGTGTTGGGAAATCTACGATTTACAGAGTTATTAAAGAAGAGAAATGTGGTAGTTTTCAAATGCCACGTAATGCTTCAGGGAAACCAAAATTTCAAATAGAATATCACTTTAAAGAAGGACTTCGACAAAAAGTGCATGAATTCTTCTTTAGACAAGAATTTCCAACATTGGATAAAGTTGTTGTCTCAGTATGAGATGATAAGGATTACCCAGAAATGAGTCGAAGTACATTATGGAAACTTTTAAAAGAAATAGACTTCCGCTGGAAAAAGAATCCCAGAAAGTCTATTTTATTAGAAAGAAGCGATATTGTCATATGGAGAAGACATTTTCTAAGAACCATAAAGGAAATGAGAAACCAAAAAAGAAAAATATTTTATCTTGATGAAACATGGATCAACGAGGGTCATACACCAAATCAATTTTGGCAGGATGAAACTGTTACAAGTCATAGGCACGCTTTTGTAAATAACTTATCTACTGGTTTAAACCCACCATCAGGAAAGGGACGCAGGCTGATAATAGTACACATTGGCATTTCAGACGGTTTTGTTGAAGGTGGTTTATTAACTTTTGAATCAACTCGTACCGATGACTACCATGAAGACATAAACGCTGATGTCTTTCAAGAATGGTTCGAACAAATGATAGATCTTCTTCCTAAGAACTGTGTAATAGTAATGGATATTGCAAGTTATCACTCCAGACTTATAGAAGGACTGCCCACAACCAAGTGGTTAAAAAAAGACTTGCAGAATTGGCTGAGTTCAAAAAATATTACGTACCATCCCGGATCTATAAGAAAGGAACTTTATTCGTTGTGTGCCCTTCATAAAGAAAAATTTAAAAAATACGAAATTGATGAAATTGCCAAAAATCGTGGAATGACAGTACTTAGATCCCCACCATATCATTGTGAATTAAACCCGATTGAACTGGTATGGGCACAGATAAAGAGTGAAGTTTCAAGAAAAAATACCACTTTTAAAATTCATGATGTTAAACAGTTGTTTTTGGAGGCCGTAAATAATGTAAAACCTGAAAACTGGGAAAAGGCAGTAAATCACACTATTAAAGAAGAGGAAAAAATGTGGAAGCTAGACAATATTACTGATAAAATGATCGAGCCAGTTATTATAAATCTTGGTTCTGAAAGTTCATCTTCTGAATCTGATTTGGATTTGTAACAAGTAGCTGTAAGTTTTATACTAATATTTTTATTCATCTATTTAACATACATTAGACTGTTTTAAAAACTCTTTTTCTCTTTTGTAATTTTTAAAAATTAAAAAAAATGTGAATTTTTAAAACCCTTTTTAATGTAGGCCATTTCCCAATATCAACTGCCAGATTATAAAAACTCTTCAGGAAGACGATGACATAAAAGGACAAACGCGAAGTGCTGAGTACAACGCACACTGCTGAAAAGGAAGATGTCCAGCAAAAGGGAGGAATAGCTGAAAATCCAGCTTCTGTTGTCGAATACAACAAGAGCAAATAATTTATAGATATATCTGACCAAATAAAGTCTTACTTTACAGAATTACGAAAATAAGTGAAATGATATCGTAAAATAGCAATTGAGCTCCTTTTGGGGTCAGTTATTGGCAACGCCGATATCATTTACCAAAAAGTAACCAACAGTAACATCCATCACATTTTTTAAGGAAGAGTGGTTTGTCAACTGGTAAATTTCTTTACAGTAACTAATCCAGAGCAACAGAAATTCAAAGTTCGACCAAAAGAAGATGTACCACATATTACGCAAATTAAGCAGATATTGGCAGAAAATTTGCACAGACCAAAACTTTCCACGTTTCAGGTCCATTCAGTGCAATAAATTGGATTGTATCAAGTACTTTTGCGAGCTTCATTCATGTAATCTATAGACGTTTGTACAGAAATATTATACACTATAATAAATATATAATATGCGAGTCTTCTATAGCTGGAGCCATTTATCGCATCCTAATTTTCAGAGTTTTCGGGAGAAGCAATCTTCAGTTTTAAAATCTCTGGCGGTCATTGCATCTTCGACATCTTCTCTCCATGACCGTTTTATCTACCTCGTCTTCTTTTAGTGGGCAGAGTCCATTTTTCTATTTTTTTTGACCATCTTTTTTCAGGCATTCTCTGCAGGTGTCTATACCAGTTTAGTCTTTTGGCTATAAGACTAAAGACTAAATATTGTATTTTTTCATTTATTTCTTAACTAGAAACATGTATTACTAATGTTAAAAGACATTTACTGATCTTTTACAATGAAAAGAGTTGTTTACATTATATAAATGAAACTTGGTTTCAGGCTACATAATGATATATTAGGCTAACTAGGCTAATAAGCCTCTAATAAGCTATTATAGGCTAAATATAAAAAAGAGTCCATCAGGCTACTGAGCAAATGTATTCCGTATAAATGAATACGTATTATAAAGCATGGTTGTATCACGCAGCCTTAAATACACTAAGGTATGAGATGCAATGGCGCTTCTCGTGGTGTCTCTAGTTTTATGTATAAGATGCACACTTGCTTCTTGTAGCGTTTAACGTGTTAATTGTTTGTTGTATTGTTTTTTATGCTATAATAAACATTAGGTATGATTATTTACCATTTTTTTTGTGTTTCAGGTAAATATCCGCTACACCTGAAACCAGATGCCTGGCTTTTGTACAATGAAAAATACGATTACTCCAGAGGTTTATTCTTCATGGACGGAGAAGAATGGCTTCATTTTCGTAGAATAATGAACAAGTTGCTCCTTAGAGGCAACCTAACTTGGATAGAAGACTCTTGCAATGTTGCTGCAGATTTGCTAGTCCAGCAAATATCTGAGCACCAGAATCAAGAATTCCCAAATTTAGAGCAGCAATTGTATAAATGGTCATTGGATATGATAGTATCAGTCTTAGTTGGTGCAGATAAATACACAGAATGCAACAAAAAAGTAGATTTCTATGTAAAACAATTAGCTTCTATTGTACATAAAATATTTGATGATACCTGTAAATTACAACTCTTGCCAGCGCCTTTAGCCATGAAGTATAATTTAAGTAGATGGCAAAATTTTGAAAATTCTGTAAGAACATCTTTAAAGTTAGCCAAAGATTTACTTAATTTAATTTCGGCCGTTACTAATAATGAAGATGGTTTATTAAAAAAAATGTTCGAAGAAAAAGTAGACACTAAAGACATTGATAGAATAATTATAGACTTAATATTAAGTGCTGGTGATACTACTGCATACACGATGTCATGGTTATTGTTTCTTTTATCAAAACATCAAAATGTTCAAAAAGAATTACGTGATAAAGTGAGATCTGACCCTAAGACCTCCTATTTGAGGAATGTTATTAGAGAAACTTTAAGGTTGTATCCAGTAGCGCCATTTTTAAATAGAATACTTCCTGAGACAACAACTATAAGCGGGTATGAAATTCCTAAGAATACTCTTATGGTTATGTCGATTCACACAAGTGGACGGGATCCTAAATATTTTAAAAATCCAGAGGTGTTTCTTCCCGAACGATGGAGCAGAGATAAAGGGAGTGATTTGTCTCTACAACAAGCTAGTTTACCATTTGGTATTGGATCTAGATCTTGTATAGGCAGAAAAATCGCAGAAACTCAATTACAAATGACTATTTCTAAAATAGTTCAAAAGTTTGAATTTATTATTATTAACGAATCAGAAATTGAGGACATTTTGAAAATGGTAACAATTCCTTCCAAACCTCTAAGACTTGTTTTTAATAAAATAGATTAGTTTGATTGACCTCATTTATTTTTAAACATTTGTATAAACTTTTAACAAAACACGTGTTAAATAAAGTTATAGATTTTATAATCGTATACCTAATGAAAACACTGAAATATTCTTACAGCCTATGCAAATTGATGCTCAGTCGAGTTCAGCCGATACTAACTTTATGAATGTATTGTTTGGTTTAAAACTTTACCTAGTGTCTCTACACAACATAACCAACTGTGTTTTTTTAATAAGTACATACAAAATAATGATGTATGATGAACGCTCCAAAATGATATGAGTGAAATCCTTCCAGAATTGTCGGAAACAGTGCATATTTCCACATTAAACATATTTCCAAAAAGCTTCAGAAAAACATACCAACAAGCATCTCAACATAATATGAGTTTTCGCAATGGTCAAAATAAAAATTCTTTTTCGAAACCAATTCTGAGGACTTGTTGCATTAAGCTATGTTCAAAAATGGAATCTTCGAACGTAGAGACCAAATTAGTTGATGTTGAAATTAACCACACATGATGACATTTGTTTTTTCATTTCACTTGCTTTTCAGGGTTGGACTGAAGTTTGGATTTTTTTTATTCACGTTTTTCGTTTTTCTATGATTTGTAATTAGTTGTTAATTCGATATATATATAAATCGCGCATGCCCAGTTTCTGAAGCCCTTGCGCAGATTCTGAAGTCCTGTTATAAGTAGATTCATAAAATTTAGTGAGTATAGTAAGTTATACTTTTGAAAAGCGTGACTGAAAAGTCGTTACGAATTTATAATTATGTTAAGATGTATAATAAAAAGATCAAAATTAAATGATTAATATTAATACTGTTACGGCGGTTGCGTAAGATGTATTCCGTAAGGAAATAGTCCCTTGACAAAAAAGAAGACGTATTAACCCTTAATATCCTGAATTATTATATTTTTGAAAATGATATATTTTATGCATCGAGTTAGAATCCATGGAGAAGCTATAAGCATATAAACGTGTGTATTAAAAACGGCGTAGGTAGGCGTGGCTAACGATAATACAAATATGGCAGTGGGATCATGGCCGAACTCAATAATATTAAAACTACTATAAGAATATGACTAGTTATTTAGAAGATTTAATCATAACTTAAAAAGTGCAATACATTTTTAATAAACTATGATTTATTTATCCCGTGGTAAACACTAAAAACACGATATATTATACATAAAGATAAATTACTTTGTTTACATACCTATTTGTATACTAACGTATGAAACGATATTTCTGAAGATTTTTTATTAACATTGCTTCTGCTACTGCAACTACGTTGACAACAAGAAACCATTACTATGCACTATCACAATATATTATTACAGTTTATATAAAAGTAATATAAAACTAAAAATATTCGAAAAACAACAAACGTAAACAAACATATACGATCTGTCAAAAGTGTCAAAACAATATTAACAATATGGCCGGAGTGAGGTCGTTTTTAATCACGTGATGCCCTCTCCAAAGATTCTAACTCGATGATTTTATGGCACTTTTTTGTTATTAGCTGTGACATATATGTCACTCTAGAACATACAGGGAACAAGATAAAAAAAAATGCGAAAGCTTTATTAAACTACATATTTAAACAAAAAATATGTTTTACATTATGTATAGAGAATTATCTTGTATGAAACTGCTCATAACAATCAATGCACAACCACAAATCACACGTTCTAAACATGGTTCTAACAACAGAAGTGCAATTTTAAAATGCGCATCGTCATCTTTTCTTGTTTGGAATATATATCAAGATGTGATCTTGTTTGTCAAATCTGACGGTGTCGCTGGTTCGACTACCGAAAAAACTTGAAATTAAGGGTTTTGGCCGACCTGCACCTTTAGCTTCTGTACCATACTGCATTAGATATGAAGTGGCTATATCTTTGCGAAAATCGATTTGTTTTATAGAATTGCCGTTTTTTTTATAAATATGCTCAGTGTTTTCCAATAACGCCTCTAGTAACCATGTAAATAATTGCCATCACCGTTTTTTGGATCTAATATTAATCCTGTACCTTCCTATATTTTGATCCATCAAGTCCGTCCCTCCCATCGATGAGTTATATTTTCCTATGAGACAAGGACGAGGTACTTGAATAATTTTCTTCTCTTTCTGAGAAAACCTATTTACATGTGTCATGGGTTGAATGCCATAAGAGGTAGACGCAGTAGTAACAATATTATTGTCGGACCAACGTACAAAAATTATACCTTTGTTACGTTCAATAACGCCACTACAATCACCTCGATATGTCTGTTATTGGAAATTAGTTTTAGAGAAAATACCATTTTCTCGCATATTGGACAGTAGGTTAACACTGGTAAACAAGTTGTCTAGAAAGAGTTTATATGGTAGTTTTCTCTTATTGGTGGGTAACTCACGCAATATGTTTAGCAGTGGAGCAGGAGCTAAAAATTCTCTGTTGGTAAATCTCCAGATGGCAATAATCGTTGTTCCTCAAATCGCCGAGAATATCGTAATATTTATTATAAATATATTATAAACATGTGTGATGACACAGCGACCGCGAAATTGATACCTGGTACATGATATCTGATCAATGATCATCGTTATCCAACTCCAACTGGCAGTCAACAATGTTTTATAAATCTTGTAAATAATTCGCTGGGAATGAAATCATGTCTTATGTTTATTTTTGCTAAAATACGGTAGTACATTATCCTAGCGTTGCATATATGTAATACTGAACTTTGACGCTTCACAGAACTAAGTGGTAGTGAAATATTTAAATAAAATTTGAAAGATGTAGGCTATGTATCTTTATGTAAAGCTTAACTTACTTTTTTGATTACTAAAAAATTGCAAGATAAAAAAATAAATGTACTTATTCTAGATTGATGTCCTGTTTTTCAAAATATTTATCGGCAGCTTATTTTAAATATTTACAGGCACAAAATTTTCGCACACTATGTCTGCAAACTAGTTAACATGCATTAGAGGAAGTGTCAAATTGCACAATACTTACACCATCTATTCGATTCTATCACAAGTTTTCTTACAGGGCGCTGTTTAAACTACACAATATTGCGTAACTTATAATATCATGATACTATGAGTAAAAGTGGATTTTCACAGGTCCGATATCCGACGGTACGATGATACGATATAAATTTCAGCGAATTTCATTGGTTGAGAAATGACAGGTGGGATTTTCGTACGAAATTAAAAGTCATCGGAAGAAGTTAAAAATATTTTAACTTTTGCACGACAATCGGATGAATTTTGACATTGTTGACATTTTAACTTGAACTTTAACCTTACTTTTGTGGAGTGTTTATGTTTATTATTTGAAATATATTTAAAATGGAACAAAGAACTAAGAAATTGAATCATTCTCGTTGGCTCACGTTGGCAAATAACATTCTACGTCGTTATGTTAGTACTGAAAATCCAACAACATAACACAACATAAAGGAACTGACCTTTATGCATGTTTTATACAAAGCATGTTTTATAAACAATAAAACGTAGTTGATATCTATAGTAAAATATAAAAAGTGTTATAGTCCATGTAATTCAAAGGAATGCCTATTTTGTACATCCGGAAAATCTTCTGCTATGTATCCTGCATGACACTTGCCTGCATATAAGAGAGTCGCATTCTCATTGAAAAAACTAAGGCCAATGATGATAATGAGCAGAGGACGCCCACCAACTGGATGGCAATAACATACAGGTTATTTATGATGAATCGATGATATTATTTAGGGGCAAACTTCTATTTAAACAGTAACTTTCTTAGAAGCGTAGTAAATATGAAATTAAAGTTTATATGTTAACCGAATGTGATAAGACGGAAGTACTAGCATATTTTAATGATCTATTACCGTCAAAAATGAAATATTGTGATTTTTCCGAAATATCTTAATTGCTGATCAAAATGTTTTTGATTCCCTGCTATTTGCAAGTAGAGAATACAAATTATAAAAGTATATTTGTTTTTTCCTTTTAATTACTTATCCATAGTTTTTCTGTGTTATAAAATTTGTTTTGTAGGGGTCGCAGAAATTATTTGCTTCAGAAGCTATTGGTAATAGTGGCCCCGGAATAATCCTCCCTAGCCGCTGACGAGGTGGGAGTAGTTGGCACTTGTTGACTCGTTCTATGATATACGATAATACACTATTAAATTTTAACCACTGAGTGTACGCTATTAGGATCGGAGTTTTGTAACAGTACATTGTTTTCAGAGTTTATCGTCATCAGTCAGTTATACACAAATACATCCACTACCGCATCCTTTTCGATCATATTAGCTGCAGATAAACCTGCAGGAATAAATCATGCCAGATTATGGCCTATAAACTTCGAAAACAATGTAGTATTATAATTTGTTCCTTAATTATTTATTAAGCTAATAACCTAAAAATGAAATGTAGCGTTGCTAAACATGATTTTATGCGTGATATAATATTGACTATTTCACTAGACTATTTTTAACTGAAAAAAATGTCGGAGCAACGCCACGTTTGCTACTGACAAAACTCCTTCCTGTCCGTGATTTCTCAGCGACAAAATTATGACAAATCCGTCACGTAGGTGTCTGGTAATTTTATTGTTGTCAGTTTGACAATCGTCAGTGACGATTAAAAGAAATTAAAAAATTGGTTTTGGAAAATGTCTAATTGAATACGCAGAGTTCCAAAAGCTCTATTTGGATCAAATTTTCGGAGTTCCTACGGGTGAGAAATTTTACGCTGGAAACATATACTACCATAACAGAACTTAGCAAAAATTCTCGAGGATTAGGCCTTTAACATGAAAAAAACAAGGCAATAAGAGTATTAAGAGCGTCTGTAAAGTCAGTGAAATACAATAGTCAGAGCACAAATGGTACAATCAAAAATATTTTACGGAGTACGACATAAAAATCGATCCTTTTACAGATATGTCTTTCAAATATGTAAGATTGTCTAGAGATACCAAGTGGAGGCAGCTTCAAAGTGTT